AAGTGAACATTTGTTGTGATTGTAGCCTAGAGTCATTCACAGCACATATCCTGAGCTGTTGCATTTTTTTTTTCATTTATCAGTATAATCATACATTTCTGAGCCTAGAATTTTATAAGTATTGAAAAACGCAATAAATCTTAATTTCTAGATCCAAGATGAATATGATTTAATGTGTAAACAGAAGCTAAGATAGCCTTTTAAGAGTAAAGGCAGAATAAGTCAACTYAAAAAATGATGTAATATATTTTCACGGACATGTTTTGTGTCGTCAGCAGGGTTGTACCTCTGTCGGCCACAGCTCTGCAATCAGCCGACGTCACCATAAATAGCGAAGCTAGCCAGTTGTTTAGGGAGAAGAAGAAAAGAGCTGCAAGCGGAAGAAACACCGGATTTAGCTGTTAAATTTCGTTTTATACGTCTAGTTTAGCTTATCCAATTTTTTAAACACCTTGTGACCAATGTCCACACCGGCAAGAAGACGGCTAATGAGAGATTTTAAAAGGTATGGACGTGATTTTAAAGCCTCCTCTTCGGGTTTTTAATGTGTGTAGCCGATGAAGCTAGCGGCGTTAGCTTAGCATTAGCTATCGGTACAAACAGTACTAGAGGTCTGGGCTAGCTAGTCTGCAGCCTTCATGAATTAAATGGGATTTAACCTGAATAATCATGGTGTTTTAGACAAAAACACATTAGGAAGCCTTAAGAGTTTTGTCGTTATGAGGTTCTGCTTYATGCAGTATTTTATATGTTGTGTCCAGGGAATAGCATCATCAGTATTTGTATTTTTGGCAGTATTTGTTTTGCCTTGAGATTTTATTTATTTGTTTGTTTGTTTTACAGTTCAGGCGTTTGTTTTGGTTAATTGTCTAAAACTGACAAGTAATTATTCAGGGACAGCAGTTTTTAACTTTTTTTTAAGTAGCAAAAAATTCAGGGTGTTTTTGTTTAATTATTTAAACCCAATATTAGCTGGAAATTATTCTTACCGTTTTAAATTTTTCTTTAGAGGCTTGATTCATGACCCTTTTTTTGAATGATTATGTCAGGCTGTGAGGACAAACAGAACAACAAGGCCTGCTTGTAGAAGCTGTCATCTCCAGTCTGTTACTTTGCTCCAGATGGCATCCCACAGTTTGAATTTGACACACACACACACACACACAAAAGTACACGGTAAAGCAGTGGTTCCCAAACATTTTATCTTCTAACCCACAAACTATTCATGGCAAAAA